ATGATGGTTCGATTACTGCATCTGAACTAGGTAACTGTTATGGCTAATTGATTCATTCTTGAGGGTACCTAGCAAAATTGTAATTGGGATGGGCTTTGAACATACCTTCTTATTCAAGGATTTGGGTATTCCTATGTAATATTGATATGGATTTCTTAGAGGGATCCTTTGACCTTACGAGTCTTTCCTTTTTCCTCTATAGCTTTCATTTCTTTTTGTTCTTGCAAGGTTATTTTGAATAAATCTGGTTGTTTGTCGGGAAAAAGAATTTCAGTCTGTCCATGCTTCTTATATAGGATATATTCTTTATCAGGTTGCAGTGAAGGTATTGGAAAGGGGCATTATTTTAATGGAGCTGGTAGTGGTGCCGGACATGGGGGCCAAGGGGGCTCGGGCTATTTCAATGGGAGAGTTTGTAATGGTGGCCATAAATATGGTAATGCTGACTTTCCCTGTGAGTTGGGAAGTGGAGCTGAGGGCCCTGACAAGTTATACGGTCATGTGCTTGGAGGGGGAATGATTGGTATTACTTCTGCAACTGAGTAATTTTGATTGGTTGTTTTGCATGCAACTGAAGTTTGCTAGTGTCTCTAAACAATTAACTGATTTATGTCACTTTCCACCAACTGCATGTCTCTGATATTGTGCCTTTTTCATGTTTTCTTATCATGTTTCCATCTTCATTAGTCATGGGTTCCATACAATGGCCACTGTTAAAGCTTGATACTTACGGATCCATGACGGCTGATGGCCAGACCTTCGAAAAAATGACAAGAAGTAACAATGGATCCTTGATTGGCGGACTTGGTGGTGGTTCTGGTGGTACTATCCTACTTTTCCTTCAAGAGCTTGTGCTTGCAGACAATTCATCTCTATCTGTTGTTGGGGGCAGTGGTGGCCCTCTTGGTGGTGGTGGGGGTGGGGGTGGAAGGGTTCATTTTCATTGGTCTAAACTAGATATTGGATACGAATATTTTTCAGTTGCTACTGTCAATGGTTCCATCAACATTAGGTATGCGCTATAATAATCATAAAAGCAGTAGTGAGTTCATGAGTTTGGGTGAACGAAAATGATGTCTTTTAATTATTAGAATTTTTTAAGACGTACTGCAATATCTGATGGTTTAGAACTGATGAGTTCCCTAGTTTCCATCTGCACTCTGAATTACATATAACATAAATTTTAGTTAGTTTGTTTATTTTTTAATTTTAATATTTATGTATCACAAAAGAGAAATTTGGGGATGTCTTCTAAAATGGGCTGTATGTATGTTTATTTATTCCTATGTTCATGATGCTCACTTCCCTATTCAAGCCCTTTCAGAAAAAGATAGTAGGTAAGAATCCTATTTAGACATCTGATGACTGCAAGTTAAGAAGTTTATGACTGTTAAGAAACTTATAATAGCCTATAACAAATATAAAGAAGAGGACTCTATGAGTATATTACCACTTTTGTGATCTCTGCAGTGGAGGTGCTGGGGACACTGGTGGTCGTTTTGGCGAGCATGGTACAGTTACAGGAAGAAAATGCCCAAAGGGACTCTATGGTGTGTTTTGTAGGGTATGCTTAATTAGTTTCTCTACAGTTGACAAGCTCTTTTTGCTGTAGCAATAAAATAAATAGTTAGTATGCTTCATTAGTCTCGTTGTATTCCTATAGGTGATGTAGGCTTCTCTCGAAATAAGATAAATATTTTTATGCATTTTGAATATGGTATTATCTTGTTCATGGTGATATTCTTATGGATCATCTTTCATATACATCCATGCATGTAATCTTTTAAACCCTGAATCGAATCTTTGTTAAATCAGCTCAAAATATTCTACAAAAATGCTTATATGCATTCTTTTTTTTTGAAAGAAAAAGCCAGAATCCATTAATGAGGCACCAAGGAGTCCTCTTGTGTACAAAGAAGAGATAATCACATATTAGTTGAGATATCCAAAAGGAGCCCTCAGTCGTCATCATAAGAAAGAAGGCCACCTTTAAATAAAAAGCACAGAGTTTGGAAAGTTGAATCTTTAACTCTACCAATGATATATCTTCTAGAGTCTTTTTATTTTCCTTGTTCCAAATAACCAACAAAGTAGCCTAGGGGATTAGCGAAATAAAATTTCTCCTTTTCTCACCCTGGATTCCCTGCCAAGCTCATATCTCAGCCGAAAGAGAGCTAGCTGTCACCCAACTCAACTCCAAGAACCCAATAGCAGTGAACCAAGTTGAGAGGAGAATGGACACCCAAAAAGGTATAAGGAGACTCTGCAACTATTATGCAAATAACACATTTAACAAAATCTTTCCCTTATTCTTGTTCTAGGACAATTATGGTTAATTTGCCGGCTTAAGGATTTGAAATTAAAAACCTAAACATTATACCTAGATTTCTTAGACATCACGTATAATTTTTTTTTAAGCATTACAATCAAGAGTTGAATTGCAACATACAACTAGAAAATTAAGAAATTCTCAAAAGATTTTATTTAATAGCTGAAATCTTTATCAAAAGTTGAAATCATGGAGATATTTTTAAAGGTTCTTACTAATATTACTCAAATAGAGTTAGACTAAGAAATAATAGTACTAAAAGAATTAGGAAACTACTAATGCAAATAGTGTAATATTAATAAATTTTTTTTGCGAAATAAAAAGTGTAGTTCTATTAGTTTAATATTAATAAAAATAAAACCCTAAAGCTAATTAACTATAATGATAATAGACTCCACAATAGCATAATAGTTTCATATCTAATAAAATTATGATCTTTAATCCATATAGGATCTTATAATTCTCCCCAATTGGAGGAAAGTTGTCCACAAGTTTTAAAGTGGTACGATACAAAGTATTAATATTTGAGCTTTTTCATGAAAATTTAACAAACTCTGTGCTTGCTTATTCTCTTCAATAGCACACATAATGAGAACACAACTGTTTAGAGTGTGAAATCCT